CCACACTCTCCCTCTTTCTTCTTTATTTCTTTCTTATTTGTTTATTTATAAAATAGTTAACTCATGTTCCGTGGGACCGCTACCTGATGCTAAACGACGTCGACTTTTCTCTCTTTCAATTTTAATGACCTGCCCTTCCCGTCTCTAATATGGGGAATGCAATGTTATTAAATCGGATCGGATCGGTTGGTTCGATCGGTTGAACCGTAAATCGGTGGCCTGTCGGTTGGTTAACTCTCAAAATCGGATTAGCACAGAACCGGTTGAAAATCGGGAAAATCGGGGTGAATCGGTTGAAAACCGTAAAACCGGTTTGAATCGCATGTTCACTTTTTTTTAAAAAAATTAAACCACCAACGATCGTTTGTTCACGAGCCGAGTCAATTCGAGTATTGTTGAGCTCGACTCGAACTCGAAAACTTAAAGTAAGCTCAACTCGACTCAAAACTCACGAGCTAAAAATTATCAACTCGAAATATAATATTAAACTTGAAATCAAAAAGGCTCAAACTCAAAAAAAAATTAGAAGTTCGATTGAAGCCTAAAATTTGAGCTCAATTGAACGAAAGAATATTCGCTTTGTGCTCACCAAAAGGCTCCATGATTTTGAATGTCAAATTACCTATATTATTTATAGAAGTAAGTTGGATGCTCTTCTATGTTTCTTAGCCATGTGTGATTGTTTGTTCTCATATTTTTACTCTTTAAACTTTTGGGATACTCTTCTATGTTTTTTAACCATGTGGGATTGTTTAATTAAACCAAATGACATCATTTGTTATGATTTTTTTAAACCTCAATTTTATTTTTTTATTATAGTTATATAATTATATTTATTATTTAATAGTTTTACCTTAAATATTATGTTGTAGTTGATTTGAATCATTTTGTTTCATTTGATTTTATGGTTTTTTCATTTATACCATGTTACGACTTGTAATATTTTATCTTTTAATATTGTAAACTTAAAAAAAGTGTTACATATATATTAATATTGCTTGATATTATATAAAAATAAAAAAATATTATATATAAAATCCGGTTCAACTGCGGTTGAACCCGATTAAATCAGTAAATCAGTACCTTCACCGGTTCAATGTTCGGTCCGGTTTTGAAACATTGGGGAATGACGTTAAGGCCATGTTTGCGTAGATTACTATGTTCTCTTTGTTCCTCTCCTCTCATTTTTTTAGTTTAAACTACTAAACAGTCACTCAATTTTTAAGGATTTATAATTTTATCACCAAACAAAATTATTATAATTAAATCATTTATTTTTAACAAGCCAGAAATTTAAGCCTAAATTATCTATTTAGTCACCCACCAATTAACTTATTTCTGTTTGGTAACATAATTATTATTTTTCTTAACTTCATATTTAACATTATGATTCATTTCTGTTTTGGTCACTCATCATTAGGTTTAATCGTTGACTTAACAGAACTAGTGACATGAAATTTGTATAGTAACAGTTTCAGTATTAAAAACTTTCATATTCTATCAAATTGATCATGATTCAAAAAAGTACTTAATTTAAAAATTATATCAGTTTAATTTGAAATGATTTATTAATTTATTAATAACTCAATAATATTTTAGTAATATATATATAATTGATTAATAATCTAATAATAATTTAAGGGTTTTTTTTAACTTTTGAAGCTTGGAAGGGTTTTTTTAACTTTTGAAGCTTGGGGACTTATTATTGGATATCCCTTTTTATTTTAATTTCATCTTTGACAATCACCCCGTGTTCTCCATAGCTGCAAACACTGTTTTCACGTCGTAGTTCATCATTATATATAATTGATTAATAATCTAATAATAATTTAAGGGTTTTTTTAACTTTTGAAGCTTGGAAGGGTTTTTTTAACTTTTGAAGCTTGGGGACTTATTATGTGGATATCCCTTTTTATTTTAATTTCATCTTTGACAATCACCCGTGTTCTCCATAGCTGCAAACACTGTTTTCACGTCGTAGTTCATCATTTATTCGTCATTCGACGATTCCCTTGGACTCTCATTGTAGCTTTGCTCACTATTACAATCGCATCATCGTCGCACTCATCCGACGATCCCCCAAACTCCTATGATTGTTTTTCTCACCACTGTATTGTAACATCTCCATTTCACTACAACAAAACAGGTTTTTTCGGGTTTTTTTACTTTTAGCGGCGTTTATAAGCGCCGCTAAAAAACATGCGGCATTAAGACAAACGCCGCGAAAACCGCCGTTAAAAAGCGCCGCTAAAGTTCGCGGCATTTTTAAACAAAAACGCCGCAATAGGTGTTGATATTTAGCGGTGTTTTTCGATAACGTCGCGGTTATGATATTTAGCGGCGTTTTTTCAAAAATGCCGCAATAGGTGTTGATTTTTTGCATTTTTGCGGCGTTTTTTCCACAAAGCCGCAGTAGTTTTGATGTTTTGCAGCGTTTTTTCACAAACGCCGCAGTATGTATTGATTTTTGCGGCATTTTTGCTAAAAACGCTGGTAAAGTTCTGTATATAGCGGCATTTCTAGGATACAAACGCCGCTGAATGTATGGTATATTGCGACGTTTTTTGTTACAAACGCCGCTAAATAACACATAATTAACATTCCTAAAAATTATGCTTGATTACCCCAAAACTGTTTTTTATCATGTTCCATTATCCAACAACAAAACAATATAACATCAAACTCTATATCCATAACAAACACATCAAATCCAATATATAAATAAAAGTTTTCATTAACGTAATATAAGTTCAGTTAAACAAGGTTCATTAGAATGCTCATAACATAAATGAACTACGATGGTGGATTCTGAGGTTTCGTTTTTTGAATCATCAGCATCATATCATTGAGTCGTTTTCAAATTCTTCACATCTTGTTGATATGTTTTCTCTCTGTGCTGCCGCGCCTTTTCTCTTTTGTTGTGTGCTTCTTTCTCTACTTCCGCTGCTGCTCTGGCTGCTTCTGCTGCTGCTCTCTGCTTCCCTTGCTTCTTTCCGCTTTCAAGTTAGCCATTTGTTGATCCATCTCAGCCAACTTTCTTTTAAACGACAAACTTCTTGTGGGAAGATCGAGACTGTGATGACATGTACTGTGATGAACTGGATCCAAAATATTTGGTGGGAGTAATGAATGATCCTTGACAGCGCACCCGACCATATCTTTCAGGACCCAAAACGTCATTAATAGCTTGGTTTTCAATGTCATCATCATTAACAATACCTTGACTCGAAGCAGTAACATGATACTCCATCTTTTTTCCCTCAATTTTTCCTAATAAAGTGAATAATTAATTAAAATAAAAATGTCATTCTACAATATAAATAAAGTCAGGCAAATTTAAAACATCAACCCAAAAAACGTACCATAATTTCTGCAAGCGTCAACAGTCATAGGAGTGTCATCCTTCTCGTATGTGTCATTTCGAAGAGTTGGATTCGACCAACTTTAGAACCGGATGTATTTTCCTACAATGTGCCCGTAAATTTGTTCGCCATTATCGTCGTTTTTCTGTCTGCAAAAACACACACCCTCCATACATAATCCTTCGATTGTGCCCGTAAGTTTATCTCTCCACATTAGTTGTTCGACGTCCGCTAGCCTCAACTTCCAATCATTCATTGAAAATCTATAAAGGGGCGTGCAACGATGTTTAGACACACAACCGACCTCATAGAGGTTCGTTTATCGTCACGTTCTAGGGAGTTGAGAAGGGGTGTGCAACTGACATGAAGAGGCGACTATGATAATTAAACAAACGAGTGACGACGATCGATCGATTTTTAGGGGGAGATTTTGAAATTTTAGGTTGGATCAAATTAATTTTTTTATGAAAATTAGAGAATTTTAATTATTTTGAAGTAAGATTGAGTTGCTATAATGTGTAGATTTTAAGGATTAAAACTATTACTATATCATGTCACGTTACTATTTCCAATTAAAGACAAATAACTAAAATAGAATGAAATATAACGTTAAATATGATTTACAAAAATAATGATTAAGTAACCAAAATAGAAACAAAACAAAAAAATATAATTTATTTTTAATTTAATCATTTTATTAGAAATTTGTTAATGTTGAACAATATTAATGTATCTTAACTCAATATTATTTCTATTAAAATAATTGAAAACTTTTAAATTTTACATTTTTAGGATAATTGGATTAGGGGAAATCAAATGTTGAGATTAACTCATTATTTTTTTCTCTGTGAATATCTTCACATTTTCTACTATTGATTCAACATTTGATTTCACTTCCTCCAACAATCCTAAAAAATGTAAAACTAAAATTTTACACTAAGTGTAAGAATCATAACTCTCTATATTATCGTTTGCTAATAAAAATGTTGCGTTTCAATTATTTATCTAATATAATATAAATTAAATGACAAAAAGGTAATGGTTTAATGTCATGACTTATGTAGAATTAAACTTAATTATCTAACCATATTCTTCTCTTTCAACTTAAAATACATGGACGCTTTGATTGTAAAAAAAAACAAAACAAATTTAACTCTCCGAGCTCAATCTCCAGTTCCAAAGACCTTTTCCAGCTTCTAGTTTCCTGCTCCACTTCCTGCAACTCCGTCAAAAGAATCGCCGTACTCGCTCCCGTTATTTATGAGCTTTACCCCTTAGCTTTTGGTCAAAAAGAGTTAAGAAGGGAAGTGGAGAGTTCGTTATAAGGGATTGCGAGCTATTAGCATATGCCGCGGTATGGACGATGATGGAAACGACATTTGAGTTCGCATCTCGGTGATTTGTTGCGTGTCTGGATGGTAGATAGAGTTGGAAAGGAATGTGAAAAGAGAGATGACTTGAAGGTGTTTTTTCCACTTGTTAATGAAAAACTCGCAAGTAATCAGTGCAGGATGCGGGACTCGCTATTTGGCTGGTGTTGTTATGTGTCAGGCTTTTCTGCTGATATTGTGTTTGAAATTTGGAAATGGGATTCAAAAATTGGAGTTGGAGAAGGATGTGCATGATTGCTTCGATAAAATGATAACTGGGTTTCGAAAATTTCACTTTCTAGGTATTTCCCCCTTTTTTCTGCGGTTTTTATCTTCATTTATTTCTCATTTTCAGCGGATAAGTTTTATTTCAAAATTTGTATTGTCGGAACTTTCTTTCGGTTGGGTCCGGAATTGGGCTTCGACTTGGATTGATTGGGTTAGACTCACCACCGACCATTTTAAAACAAATTTAGGTGGGTTGGACACCATCTTACCTGATCTGCGTTGTACCAGAAACGTGTCGGGTTCGAGAGTCGGTTACGGTCAAGGAAAGATTAGCACCCTTGAACCGCCCTTTCGGTACCATTAATTTGTCGGTTGTCTTAATTGCAAAAATTAGAATTTAAATTAGAATTTAAAAAAAAAACCGATTCGAATTTCTTACCTTCGATTAATTGAAAGTTTCCCTAAAATGTCAAAAATATTGTTAGATTGTAAGAACAAAAAATAAAAAGGAAAAAAATAAATATAATAATTAAATAAGATAGCTAAAATTTAATAAATGAAAATAATAAAAAAAGGAAAATAAACGAAATAAAATAAAAATAAAATAAATAAATATTAAATTTTAAAAGGGAACAAAAGAGTTTAAAAACCAAAAAGGATCAAAACGTGAAAATTAAAATAGAAATGGCTAATAAGGAATAAAAGTGGCTAAATTAAAATAGAATAAGATTTAATAATAAAATTAAGATAAACTAAAATGAATGGTCCAATGACCAAAGTGTAAAGAAACAGATAAGTTTGAGGGACTGAAACGGTATATTAATCAAATTATTAAAACATGCTTAACAAATTGGCATAATATCAATTTTGGCCCCCAAAGGGACCAAGATGAAAACACGGCTAAGATGGGATGGTTTAAGACGCGATTTACCCATAAATTTCATCTATATACCAACCAAAAAAAAGCTTTTTGTTTCATTTGCAAAACACAAACAAAAAGAAAGAGTTCTCCCAACTCTCCCGGGTCGGCCAATTCACCGATTTCAAGTCTGCTGTCGCTCCGCCGCTCATGGCGGCCGAAAAAAACCAAACTCACCTAGAATATTCTTCCCTCCACCCCAAAGCTGAATCTGTCTTCAAAGCAAGGAAAAACCACTATATCGGAGTAGATCTAGCCTTGAAAGTCTCGGTTCTTACCCTCTTCGGCGAAAACTCTTCGCTTTCCCCGTGACTCTTCGGTAGATGCTTTGGTTTTTTCTTGCTATATATTGCTTTGAACTTGGTTTTGCTTCGACGCTTGGTTGTTTTGGTTTGTTCTTGGTTTTTTTGCTTGACTTTCGTTGTGTTATCTGATGGTTTTGTGTTTGCTCGATGGTCGATTTGTTTGTTGTTGATGTGGGTGCTGTATTTGGCCTCCCTCTGTGATATCTTGTTGGTTATTTTTGGGTCTATCATGGCTCAATGATGGTTTGTGATGGCTTGATGTTTGTCCCCGGTCTTTCACCGTGGGTATTGTTGTGTTCAATTTCTCCCCCTCTCTTCAGATGCTCTCAACTTCTCATCCTCTGGTCGAACGCCGGCCACCATCTGGTGGCCTCTCCACCGCACCAGAAATCGCTCCGGCCGCAACCCACACTCACCTAGAAGCTTCTTCCCGTCAACCCGAAGCCGAATCCGTCCTCAAAACCATAAAAGAGCCACTAGATCGGAGTAGATCTAAGCCGAGACGCTTTACCTTTTCGTCGTTGTTTCACCGTTTCACGGTGACTGTTGGTTTTCTTCCCTTGTCTTGCTTACTGTATATGTTTGCTTGGATTTTTCTGCTGTGGGGCTTCGGCCTTTGGGTTTATTTTGTTGTGTGTTGTTTTTGAGTCCGTGGTGGCTCGATGATCCACTGTTGATTCGATGGTCCTGTTTTTCACCGGTGGTCCTCAATTGTTTTGTGTTGGTACTATCGTGTGATGGTTGTTCTTGGTATTGTGAGTTCAAGATGATCATTTCTGTGTGGTCCGACCGTGTCCCGTACTGTTGGCCTCACCGAGGCTTTTATAGCTCGGTTTTGGCCGTTTGGGTTTCGAAGTTCTTGGGATCGTGGTGGGTTGTTGCCGAGTACCCCGAGATAGTTCAGTCCCGAGGATCTCGGCCGGACACTTGTGTTGTTTGGCATGACTGTTGCGTGCGGCGCTGTTGACTGAACATTGCGTGGGAACCCTAGCTGACTTTGGATGTTGGTTAGGCTGGGTCAGGCCCACTTGGATTGTCTGGACCCGTTGCATTGGACCCTTTATTCGAACCTGAAGATAATATTATATATATATATCTATATATAAGTATAAAAAATAAAAAAATAAAAAAATAAAAATATTTTTTTAAATTATATAATATAAACTTTTTTAAAAACGTTTTAAAAAACAATATTATATATAGATTTTCAAAAATGTTTTTTAAACTATATAATTTTCAAAAAAATTGTTTTGAAAACTATATAATTTTCCAAAATGTTTTTAAAAAAATTATATATATATAAGTTTTAAAAATAATATTTTCAAAAACTATATATTATATAAGTTTATTTAAAAAATATTTTTAAAAAATATATATATAAGTTTTCAAAATGATTTTAAAAACTATATATATATATTTTCTAAAATGTTTTAAAAACTATATATTATAAAAAATTAGAAACTATATATATATATTCAAAAACCGTTGTATATAATATATAAAAACCGTTTGCAAACTATATATATATATACATAATAAAAAAAAATAAAAATATATAGACGAAAATGAATGTCTACATGTATAATTGAAGCTTTTTCTTCTTAATTATTCTGAACTAGTTTAAACGTCATTTAATTCTACCAGTGGTAAGTAAATTTTCTAGTTCGATAGGGATTACGGATGAATTGGCTTGTCTTTCTCATATCATTTATTAGGTCACCAAATTTGACTTTGATATCTAATTATATCATTGTCGCGACACTCGACACTACTTATTACACTTTCCTTGTTTCTTTTATAAAGCAAAAATCTAAATATCGAGCTCATGTTGTTAAACGTACGATCAGTTAAGTAGATATACAACATTGACCCATGTATGGCGTATATATGCACATATAGGTTACATAGTTTCATGCCCTGCGTATGCATGCTTGTACGAGTATGTCAGCATTGCAGGTGAAGGGCCGGACGAAAGATTTTACGTTAAGGGGCTGAACTTTTAAAATTTTAGGGAGTGAATTTATAAAATTCTAGAAGTCAAAAACATATTATCAATAGAAAATACAAAGAAATATCTAAAATATATGATAATTTGAAAATTTCAAGGAGACGGCTGCCCTCGCACGCCCCTCCCTCGGTCCATCTCTGTGCATGCATGTGTTGAAATGCAACGAGTGACAATAGAAATTTTCTATCAAGAATGAGTGTCAATCATTTTTCTTCTGTTCCCTTGTGGACAAACATTTGATTGATACGTTTCATATAAAGCCACAATATGGAATCTGATGTTTTCTTCTGTTTGACAAGGCTTTTTATTCCAAGCCTACTGCTAGCAAGGTACTCCTTTTTGTGATAAGGTTTTGTTTTTATCCTTCCCCTGTTTGATGCTGATGTTACTAGTTCCAATTCATTGTTGTGTAACAGATATCTTTCTCAGGATGTTGTTGGAACCGGTTTCACCTGTCACTTCTTTTTTCCTCTCTTTGATTTTTATTGCATCTGTACTTACTATTCAAAATTAAGCTTCGGAAAAAGCCTGTTGCTATTCAACAGGGCAACTTCTTGGTTTCAAATTGTAGAACTAGGCAATTTTCTCCTTTACATGAAGATTGAACAGTAGAAGATTAAGTATAGAGAGTACAATGGCAATGTGTTGAAATAAAACTGGAAAGATCTATAGCTATTTGTTATGCCAGTTGCCTGCATGTCTTATGAAAGAGGACCAGACCAGAAAGATGTTCCTATTTTTCATATTTCATGAGCAGGCCACTTGACCATCTCAATGCTGCAAATCAGCAAAAAGTTGTCTTTGACAATCCAATCAGCAGTAGGCATTCCCTGCTGGCAAAGACCTGCATTAAACTGATATTTGAATATTGACATCATCACCTAGCATTATTTGTGCCTATGAGTGGTTGTTTAGAATTGCATTATATCTAACACCGAAAATAGCTTGTTTTCCATCAACATAATTTCCCTCAAAAAAAGTTCCCTCAATATTAGTTTTAGGACCAAACAAAACCTTCCAAGCTAGTTGTCTTTTTGTTGTTTTTAAATCCTTGGACATTTGAAATGTTCAAACTATCTCTTTGCGCTATGAGCTTCTCAGTTATTTAGCATGTATGGTGAATATTTGATTGTGCTTGTTAGATACTTGAATTAACCTCCATTTTCTTATAGGGCCATGGAAATGAAGTTATTTTAAGAGAGACTCTGTATGATGCTGTTATAAAGATGGACCATACATTCCTCGGTCCACGAGGAGGAATTCTGCTACCTGGCAAACAACTAAAAGATCTTGTTTTGACATGGTCCTTTGTTGCTGACAATGCCATACGGTCACTGATGTATGATTCTGAATGTGGAGATCAAGGCTTGGTGCAATTGCTTTTTATTAGAATATCCCATCCAACAAATCTCACAAGCCATGATCTAAGGCCACAGGGAGAATGGTAACCAGACCAAAGCTATCTCTTACTTTAATGCTTTCTCTGAATCTTGGCTGCCCTCTCAGTTGATCAAGTGGGTTACCAGTCAGACTGGGATGAGTGACAAAGCAAGGAGCCTGAATGTTTCCACTCCTTTAGTTCTTCTCAGTGAGTTGCCTGCTATCTCTATGCTCGTCATTTCTTCTCTCTTGTCGGGGCTTCAGCACTTGTTTCAATGGATGGTCTGGATAAGAATGTCAACATGCTATGTGATGATGAGAAGATATTTTGTTCTTACCATTGTCCAAAGTGGAGCGTATGTAATCACTAATCACTAGACCAGCAAACCCTGGCATTGGATGTGTCGCTCATGATTTGTAATTCTTCTTTCTTATACTCTTTTGATTTTGGTTTCTTAAATGTCTAATCAGGTGGTCTCATTTGCAGAGTGGCTACTCATTGTCGAGGATCAAGGAGTGAGAATATTTGACTGTGACATTTCAAAGGTTTATGCCAAGGCTCTGCTTTGCAAGTCGAGTTGAACATGAGATCCGAGTTGATAAGACAAGCGGCAAATGTTTGGGTGAAAATCTTTCTTGCATGGTTCATGAGAGGAAAGAAGACAAGAAAGCTGATAGTGATCTAGAAATGATTGATTCAATGGATACTGTTCCACTTGTCTGCTCCTTGCTTGATGAAATCAACAGCAACAGATGGTGTAAGAAAACGCAAAGAAGGGAGCACCGCTGAAGGGGAAATACCTGTTAAATTTATCAAGTATGACTTGTGTGAAAACTTGGGAAGGGAGAAGCTTTTTCCTTTGGCGGTGATGGCTTTAGTTGTGGGAATGAGGTAGACAGTCCGAGTTTGGATGCATATATGAGAGACATGGAACAATAATTTTTTTTATTAAGCCAGCAGCTTGACCACAGTTTATGACTGGAGTGATAACTCTATTTAACCGCATAGAGAAGCAGCTTGTGACCTTTCTTTCAATTTGCGGTTGTAATTTACTAACACAGCCTTATTGCACACGCGATATCTGTCGTCGTTTTATCAATGTTGGGTCTTGGAAGGCTTTTGTGGCTGAAGAAGTCAGCATTTTACCATTGGATGATGGCTTATCACAAAGTAATCTTTCATAATATGGCATTGTAGAAGAATAATCTGAGTTCATTGTAGTATGATCTACACAGAGTAATCATGCAGTAACTGAACTGCTATAGTTTCTAACCCCTACTTAATTTATTATTTACAAAACTTGACCTAAATTTTGTTTCTTTGAAAAATTGAAATTGATCTTATAAAACCCAATTAGATCAATTTTAAATAACTTGACGACCCTATCCAAAATCTAATCACCGACACTGATATTCTGGATATGGGCTTGCATGAATTAAAATAAAAGTAAAAAAAGAAAAGAGGTTAGAAGACTAAGTAATTAATTGTAGGTCCCGACTCCCAACCCCAAAACGCTCTCCCTCCATCCATTAAATATATATTTTAAGAAGGCCGAATACTTTAGAAAATATGATACACATACACATTATTATGGTCTAGAAATCACTCCAACCCAATGTCATTGTAGTTCAATAATGTGTCAGCTGTAGCTCTCTGCCTTTGAGAAACCGACACGTGGTCTCTCACCCCGTGATGTGATCAGTTGTAACGGTGGAACTTTAAACCGTTAAAATAAAAAGTAACATGAAATATCGGGTTTTTACTTTTCTGACACCGTTTGATCAATATTTCCAGAACTAGCACCCTTTCTGCTGAGTTGGCAAATGCGCGTCCCCGGGGGCGCGCTTTACCCGTGTTTTTCGCTGAGTTGGATGCCACGTGTGAAAGGCGCGTCCCTGGGGACGCGCCTTTGCCAACTCAGCAGACACGTATTTTATTATATAATAAATAGTTTATTTTTATTATTATAAAATTAATAATATATTATGTAAAATGTTCGATTATAATGTAAGAATTATCAAGTTTCGAGTATTTTGATTTTGATTATCGATCTATTAATTTTATCAGTTAATTATTAAATGTTATCAATCAATCTAGTCATCTCATATCAATATTTAACGAAAATATTGATGCATAAGTTAATAAATTAGTATAATTACATATTTAATCTTCAAGACTTACATATTTTATAAAATTAGTCTTATTGAAAATTTAATTTAATAAATTTAATCCTCTAATCAGAACATGAAATGTGTCATCGTATACATAAATTTTTTAATAACTTTTAATTTGTTTAATTTAATATTTTTCTCTACTTAGAAGGTGGAATTATTATATTTTAAAAAAAATTATAACTAATATATTAAATATTATATTAAATAAATATATTAAATATATTTATGTATTTAAAAGTTAAAAAAAATTATTTAGGTGTACATACATTGACAAATTATATAAATGCAATAACATTAAATTATTAGAAATAAAAACATTCATTTAAAAACTTTAATTACATAAGAGTTAACGGTTATATGATGATAACAGAGCTGGACATTTTTTTCTATTGTGCCCGATGTTTCTACAATGCCCACATCGTTTTTGTTCTGTGACTTCTCCCGAATATCCATATCACAATGTATTCTAGTAGATTTTGGACGACCTGAGTCCCTCAATAGCAATGGATCTGGTACAATTGTAAGCCAAGTTTGAATCTCATTTGGGTCTCTTTCGTTTCCTATGGGCGGAAACTCAATTCATATACCTTGAAAACTTGTGAAAGTTGGTATACGGGATCAACATAATTTTTGTAGTCCAAATGCGAATGTGAGCAAGCATCAATGACATGAGAGCATGGATATTGAGTGCTTGAAGAAACCACAATCGCACCACCTCTCTTGCAGATTAACTCTGAAAGAGTTAGCTTCAATCCCTTGCAGCGGACGTGGCATTTCGGTTACACGAAACAATTCACGGGTGCGAGAAAAATTTGTAACTAACATCCCATTGATGTAGCCACTTTTTTCTGTAAACGGCTATAGTCTTGGGTGGTAAATATGTCCGTTTTGCATCCAAGTAAGAGCTTGTCCACCGAGTTTTGCAAAGAGTTGACCCAAACGAAAATAAGTCGTTTTGACCAACGCCGTGACTGGTAAATGACGCGCCCCCTTAAGGTTGAATTTATTGCTTCAGCCAAGTTTGTTGTCATATGACCATAGCGATACCCCCGTCATATGCATTGTCCACATTCTTTGCTGATGTCCATAATGTACTCGCACCCCTTCTTATTTTTGCCAAACAGCTCTTGTAGCATCGACTCAAACCTTTGAGGTAAGAGTTCGTAACCTAAGCCATTAGGAATATGTAATATTAATATGAAGTATAAATAAGTAATAAAATTGATAGAAAAATTGGAAAAAAGTAACATACCCATCCGCACGACTAACTGACGTTCATCGTTCTTCTTGTATTTTCCGTAATAGTTTGCAGCAATATGACGGACACAATAACGATGTTGAACATGTGGAGGTCTATACATTGTACCCAAAGAGTCCATTGCTGCTTTTATCCTGGCTCCTCGGTCTGAAATAATGCATAGTCGTTCCTTGGTGACAACATGTAAACGTAAATTTTTAAGGAAAAAAGCCCAAGACTCAGTGTCTTCTCCTTGAACGAGGGCAAACGCAACAGGAAGAATATTGCGGTTTCCATCTTGGACCACAGCCAATAATAAAACTTGCTTGTATTTCCCATACAAGAAAGTACCATCAATTTGGACAATTGGTTTACAGTACTTGACTGCATTAATACACTGAGGGTAAGTCCAAAAGACTCGGTAAAATTGGCAGCGATCGCGAACCATTCGATCATTCACGTAATGATGTTGAGTTTCGAACTCAACAATTGTCCCGGGATTAAGTCTTTGCACAACATGAAACCAACTGGGCAGCTCGTTGTAAGAGGAATCCCATTCGCCATGAAGTTTGCAAATGGCATTCTGTTTTGCCAACCACGCTTTTTTATATGAGACAGTGTACCCATATTGTGACTGTATAGCAGAAATCAACACTGCAACAGCTATATGAGAGCTTTGCTTCACAATGGGCATGATTGCTTGACAAATAATGTTGGAGTCCAAGTTGGGATGATCCTGGTTTATACCTGTTGCACAACATGTATGAGGACCGTTGTATCTGGTTAGTTCCCATAAGTTGTTATTCCTCTTCCTCTTTGATACACGGACCATCCATTGACATCCATTGTGACGTTGGACGCAGTAGCAGACATATTTCTCCGTGTTAGATCGATCAACTCGGGACTGAACTGAGTTACGAATATTGTAACTCTTTATTGCCATCATTGCTTCCTCCTTCGATGCGAACTCCATTCCAATATGTAAATTACCGTCATTGACTGATGATTGAAGTCCATAGTTGCCAACATCATGAAGATCTGGAAATTCAGGCTCATACATTGCATCATAATCAGCCTCATACATATGTGCAGGAAGTTCGGCTGGTGTTGTATTTATCGGAACGTCATCCTCGTCATCATCAGAATGTACGTTAAACTGTGGTGAGTCAGGTTCAACGAATAATCCCGTTTCAGCACCATCTGCACCTGGCTCCCGAAGAGGTTCTTCTGGTGGAGATGAGGGTTCCTCCGATAATCCAATGTTGAGGTCAAATAAGTTCCCGCTTGCGTGTCCTCCCCTTGAACTTGAGGCCATTGTATCATGTGGGATGTGAATAGACTGTCGTCTCGTTGGCATTTCCATATGTAAGTCGAAAACATTGGCAGATGAATGTCTGCCCCTTGAAGTAGAAGAGATGTTGCCATATGGATTATTGGTGAAGCCACGTGGGTTGAGATCATAAGCATTTGCAGATGAATGCCTTCCTATTGAACTTGATTTCGTCGATCGATGAACTCAACATAAGTTGATTTTAATGTATACGTTTTAATATATATGTTAATGATAAAATCATATGTATGGATAAATTTAATTTCAATTTAAGTATTGTGAACTATAATTGGAATATAACTTTTAATTTCGAATACAATTGGAATATTAAGTTGAAATTTAATGTTAAATTTCGAATACTATAATTTATATTTTAAATTTAAATTTGAATAATATTATTTTTATTTTTATTTTAAATTTCGAATAATATAATTTGTATTTTAAAAACATTTATCAAACATTTAATGTTAAACGTGA